TTTTGTTTGATTGATTATCCAATAATTTTACACTCAACGCATCCCTTACATAAAGAGCCACCCCACCCCCACGACCATCACGATCCCCGCGAAACATCTGATACCCCTGGATTTTCAAATCATTATCACTAATTTCAGATCGCAGCCAGGTTTCCGATAACCCAACAATGTCTATCGGCCCATCATTAATATAATCAGAAAGATTCAAAACTAGGATATAAGGAACGAATATTGAAATGTGAGAAACTAAGCGCGCTGCTATCAGAAGCCATAGGCAGATAATTTATGTATAGGTATAAGGTAGTATGTAATACTGATCCGCGAAAATAGTAGACAAATAAAAATATATTGATATAGTGGTATGTTCATGTGATGAGTAAGAATTTCACCAAAATAACTACACTGCTCAACAATCGAACTGGATAATTGCAAATATACTAAAATCCTCATTTAAAAAAATAGAAAATAAAAACGTGTTTTATATTATCAATACCCAGTTTATTGATAATCAATTAACTGTTTATTGATAATATAAAACACCTTTTTATTATCTATTTGTTTAAATGAGGATTTTAGTATATTTGCAATTATCCAGTTCGATTGTTGAGCAGTGTAAAATAAACTCCATCAAAGAGCTCGGAATACCTAGCCATTATATTTCCTAAGGTTTAATAATAAAATGCTTATTCACAAATAAATCATATATAATTTCTCATTCTAATGGCAACGTAAATTTAGAGTTTCAAATTTCCCAAAACTATTTTTATACCGTAAATGGAATGCAAACTATTAAACAAAAAAAAAAAAAAAAAATAATAATAATAATAAATAGATATGCTAATATGTAGTAGAATGAAATAGTGCATGTCCAAAAATCATACAAAAAAAAAAGGAAAAGAGATAAAAACATCAAAGATAAGAAACCCCAACCAAATATATACATAGCTCCACCATGTCGATAAAATTTTACAATTACATGGAGCAAATTTAAATTTAAAATCACTCACTAGTGTTTAATTGTTTTTTCCTAGATCCATCCATGACATAAATCTTTCCACCAGATGACCACGCCTTGGTACTTCCATATTTCTTCTTTGCTGCCATTAACAGCTCAAATCTGACAGGTGTCAGATCTTCATAGATAACATAGGTTGATCCTCGCAATTTCTGCTTTGCAAAAAACACCTCATTCCTTTTAAAATTTGAAACGAAGTTCACCAATACTGTACGAGGTTTGCCGTCAACCTCTATACCAGCTCTATAAACACTGTCAATGTCGTTGGCTGTAACAGAAACTTTAAGTTTGTCGTTGATGAGATCCAATATAACAAGTCGCAGGTCTTCGTCTTCGTTCTCATCAACGCCACACACACGAAGGTTATTTCTTCTTACGCGCTGATCGAGAATGTCAAATTGGTTTTTCATATTCTTGATGTCTTCAGTGTGTGTATTCGCAATCGATGATATATTCTTAATACTGTTACTTACATCAATCAACCTTTTATCGAGCTTTTCCAATTTGGCATCCAATTTCTGTTCTAGTTGCGCGACAAAGGTGGAACAAACTTTGGATATCAGTTTTTCCATCTCCTCATCAGCTTTCAGCACTGACTTTGGTGGCATATTAACACAATCAGATTGTCTTCAATTTTAATTTTATCGCCGCGTATCGACTAGAATAACAAGTAACTGGCAGTTAATGATTTTAATTAAAATAACTTATATAGCACCGCTCTATCAACGCACAATTAAGACACACTATCAACAACACCGGATCACGATGGATGGCTCAGTAAAAAGTCTAGATTTCTTCAGAAAAACCACATATATCGACTAAAAACTGCGGAGCACCAAAAATACCTCTACTCCATACCAAAAATATAAAAAAATATTAAGAGGTGGACAAAAGAATGTGTAAGTTGCCAAAGGTCTAAAATAATTAGACATACGGTAAGTCCTTTGTCACAATTTGAGACTCCTAAAGACAGATTCAGTCACTTAGATATCGATATTGTGGATCCTTTGCCCTGTTCTAAAGGTTTTAAGTATCTTGTTACTTGTATAGATCAGTACACTAGGTGGCCTGAAGTAATTCCTGTTAAAGATATTAATAGTTCTACGGTTGCTGAAGCTTTAGTTTCTCAGTGGATAAGTAGATTTGGTATACCAACTTTTATTACATCTGATAAAGGATCTCAATTTGACTCAAAATTATTCAAAGAATTAATGTTAATTCGCGGCACTAATCACATTAAAACAACAGCTTATCATCCTATTTCTAATGGTGTTATTGAGCGATTTCATCGAAGTCTCAACAGTGCTTTGACAGCGGTTGATGTTATTCATTGGGTTGATTCGCTTCCCATCGTTATGCTTGGACTGAAAACTTGCTTTAAGGATTCTATCCAATGTAGTACTGCAGAAGATTTTTGGAGAATTCTATTTCTGAAAGCCAAACTTCTTCTGACTTTGTTATAAAACTTAAAGAATTTATGCAAAACTTAAAACCAGCAACCTCAAATTTTAAACAAAGAAAGTTTTTCATTAACAAAAATTTGTTTGATTCATCGCATGTTTTCGTTAAGATCGATTCTCATAAAAAACCTCTATCGTTTTCGTATAATGGTCAATTTAAAGTTTTGGAAAAATCAAATAAATTTTTTGAAATCGACTTAAACGGAAAACCCTATAAAATATCAATTGATCGTATTAAACCAGCGTTTATAGATACATGTTTGTTGGATAATTCTTTGGAATCAGTATTGAAGGTGGAAAAATCTGCACCAGTGAAACAAGAAAAAAATAAAAAAAGTAGGGTTTAAAATTTCGAAGTTGAACACTTCTGGAGGAAGGTTATGTAGTGACCTTTGTGTTTTTACCATTGTATTTTTACCTTTATATTTTTACCTTTGTGTTTTTACGTTTGTGCTTTTATTATTGTATATTTTTTATGTGTAGTTAGCTTTGGGTAGTTTTCAGGCAAGGTGGTGGAGATAAATAGTTACGTTTTTGTTTTTAATTATTATAAAAAAAGTTAATAACTGAATTGCTCTTGATTCTTCCAAAGAAGTATCTTCTAATTTCAAATATTGTGTACAGGCAACATAATACCAGGTCTCTCATGTTATTTTTTAAAAAATAATAATAATAACTTAGACACCTGGTATATTAATCAAAATTTGAACAATAAACTGTTTATAGAAAAAATTGTTTAAAGCTTAAATGGTATAATTTTTATTTTTTCAATATGAAACCTTGAAAGGGGTTTCCATGTTTTTCCCTATAACTATTGAAGATAGACATATCAAACCCTATATCGTTGAAATCAGGTTAAAATGCACTAGCAAATAAGCGCACAATATACAGGCTGTTCTATTTAAATAAATATAACTTCACACTGCTGCACTTTTATGGCGCACCCTGTATGCCTAAAACTGACTTAGTTAAAAACTTTTGACAATTTCTTAAAACTTTTGTATTTGACACTTTTGTCAAAAAAGTCAAATGAAAAAGTTAGGAGGGGTGACATTTATGATAGATCACTCGTACTAAGAAAATTCACAAATCTATTATGTATATTTTTCTGAATTATAGGACAACAACAGCACTAAGCAACAACAATAAGCAGAAAAATATTTGAGGTATCATACCAATGAATTATTTTTTTGCGTAGGTATACTTGTGTTTCATTATTTTTTATTTCTATCATATGCCTTGAGTACTTTTTTTGTTTTCTTTGTATAATTATTATATAACAATTTAATTGTTAGCGGTTCAGAAATCATTATAATTGAAATTATTTTTTTTTAGGGGCAATTATGAATAAATGAAGATAATTAATTTTTGCATGTCGTTGAACAAAAGTGGGAGTCTCGCCCAATTAACTTTGGGCTCTATCGCTGTATTACTATAATATGAGAAAATAATTTTATGTCGAATCGCTCAATTGAATTTGTCCACCGTCGTTGATTATTATTGGTTCCTGCCCATACATCATCAACGCTCATTATTTGTAATAAAGTAGGTATTTGGATTGGTTTCCCTTGATAATTCAACTCCCGACTGGTTGGACGATCGTCAATTATTCTGTCGGCAACATTAAGCATGATTAATTGTTCTTGCGGTTTTGCAACAAAAAAAGGGAAAATTTTCGTTGGGTATAACTTGATGAATCTTTGCAAAAAAAAACGATTCGATTAAATTGAATGCGTAAAAGAAATCACGGTTCCTTTCAAAATTGGCTTCAGCGGAAAATTAATTAAAAGCGTAAGATGACTATAAAAATAAATCAGTTTAGTCTATTTCTAGGTATGTATTTCTTTTTTTTCACAATATTTTCTGCATTTGAGATGTGACAGAACGGGGAGAGTAGGAAAATAAGTGCGGAACAACATATTTTATATTCCACATGGGCGTTATGATGAGAAATACGAAAGGGATCAAATATATAGAATGTTACAATATTTCTAAGTTTATCACTGACAAAATGTTTTTAACCATGTAAACGTGTTATCCTAACCTTACTTTTTCTCCACGCTAATGGATCGACAATGTTTTCAGCTCTGTTGCCCTTTACTTGCCTATTTCACTTCTAGTAATAGAGATCCTGAGTTGTCCAAAATGATGTCAAGGATTTTCTCCGTTTATAATGTTTTTCAAGTTGATAGATCTACAAACATAATCAATTCCAGTCTGTATGTTATTATAAGCCAAAATATTAACCTCGTAACTTATTTTCTTTCAACCGACTTACGGGAATGTACTGTGATTATTTTGCTGAATGATCATTGAATATCTCTATCATAGGATTGTCTACAGCCGGTGCGACCTTTGGATGATATGATAAGCTTTTTCTCTATCTAGAATTTTTTACATATTATGTAACATTGAAGTGCGACGAAAATTCAACCATTTTGCATCCTTTTGACGAGAAAAGAAAATTTGTAATGACATTTGGACAAACCCGTCAAAGAAAATTTTAAATTTGTATGAATTTTAAGATAGTATCTATCACAGGAGATGGCAATTGCTTATTCAGTCATCAGAATAAACATCAGCAATTAAGGAATGATGCTGTTAAATATATAGATCAAAATTGGAATGAATTTGATAGTTTTGTATTTGTACCTGGGCATATTTTAAAAAATGAATATTGCAGAAAGATGTCACAAATTGGAGAATATGGTACTTATTTAGAATGTGTAGTAGTAGTAGTAGTAGTAGCAGTAGTAGTAGCAGTAGTAGTAGTAGTAGTCAAGTAGTAGTAGTAAAGTTTATTTGCATTAATTCAGTAATTTACATTTTTTCCCTTTCTTTACAACAATAATGCAGAATAATGCAAAAAGGAGCTGGAAGGCAATTTAGAATTGTTCGAGTCCAATCCCTTTATCAAAAATTCATGAATTGAATGTTTTTATATATAATTCATATCAAACCAAAAATCAGAGAGATATTCTGGTTTTTGAATAGTCCGTCCATTACCTTATCTGATAATTTCAGTAAGTGCTTACACCTTTTTTCCGGAAACCCCAGACTCAGGCCATTTTGATTTATTACAACTTGTTCCCAACGTTGAAGACGCCAATTGTGAGTATTTTCGTAAAATTTGCAAAAAATCGTGTAAAAATCAGAATGGTTTAAAAATTCACATTTCAACGATTCATGAAGATGTTCAAAAAGACGAGAGAACCTCCCTTGATCCCCTTTCCATTAATTCGTCAGTTTTAGAATCAAACACATCTGAAAATTCTCAAAGACGGTTCAGGTGTTCATTTTGTAATTTTTTTTTTTTTTTTAAATCAGTTCAATCTGGAAAATCATATTTTCGACAAGCAACAAAACGATATTGACGGACAAACAATTGTTAAATAATTATCATATTTGAAATCATCAACTCCGATTTTAAGAAGAATACCTAAAGGAGCTAGGCAATGTATTGCAGAAGAGCTATCTTTTTTACTAAATAAATGTTGCTCAAACAATAAATTGAATGACTGGATTGCATTGTTTATCTTTCCATATGCAGTCCTTAAAGTTCCCTTAAAGCCAAAATCCGTTGAAAATTTGACATCTGCCGTTAAATTTAATGTTAGAGATTGGAGTCAAAATAAACTTCTACCTTTAAAGTCGTTGATAAATAAATATAGTAACACCAAACAAGCTTATAAAAGAAAATCCAAAATGGAGAAAACCTTTGGAGACTCAAATTTTCTGGCTAAGAAAGTAGAAATAAGAATTTCGGAAGGTGATATAAAAGGTGCCATTAGACTTTCGTGTTCAGAAAATACCATTGCTGCAAAGAATGAAGAAACACTTTTAAATCTACAGGAGAAGCTTCCGTGCCCACAATTCAATCAGAAAGAATTTCCTAGTGTGCCCAAAGACTCAATTTTTGTTGGAAATGTTTAAAATTTTGAAGTTAAAAATGCTATTTTTTCTTTCCGTCCTGGTTTAGATTCGTTAAGACCGCAACATCTTAAAGATTTGGTTTCTGAAGATCTTGGCAATTCATCTCTAAAACTTATTGAATCTTTAACTTCTTTTTCGAACATGTTACTCAGTGGTTCAATTCTTCAAAAAATGTATCCTGTCTTTTATGGAGCTGTTCTTTCTAGTAGGCATGACCCTTCGGAGACTAGTTGCTAAAATTGCTTGCAATAAAATGTCTGACAAGCTGGGTAATTTTTTAAGACCAAACCAGTTAGGTCTCGAAGCTAAATGTGGTGCTGAGGCAGCTACTCATTCAATTCGTCGTTTTTTTTAAAAAACCCACATAAATCTAACAAAGTTATTCTTAAAATTGATTTTAAGAATGCGTTCAACATGATAGACAGGACTGTTATTCTCTCGAAAATAACAGATTTTTTTCCAGAATTGTTTCCTCTTGTTTTTCAGTGTTATATAGAAACATCAATTCTTTCTTTTGGAAACGAAATTATTTTTTCTCAGCAAGGAGACCCATTTGGTCACCCGTTATTTTGCCTTGCTATACACCAAATAGATGATGGAACTTCAGCGGGTGATCCTAATACTGTTTTAGTTGACTTGAAAAAAATTATTTCTTTTAGTTTGGATTTTGGTCTTCAACTAAACTTCAACAAATGTGAGCTTTCTATAATCAGAAAAAATATTAGTTCCATAATCTCCGACTTTTACAGTATTTCTTCAAAAATTAATTTAGTTCCATTGGATTCGTTGGAATTATTAGGTTGTCCCTTTTTCTTAAACAAAATTGATGATTCGATTAATTTAAAAACTAAAACTTTGGAAAAGCTTTCTCATAATTTAAAATTTCATAGTTCTCATACAGCATATTACTTATTGAAACATTCTTTCTCTATTCCCCGTTTATCATATTTATTAAAGTGTGCTCCTTGTTGGGTTACACAGAAAGCCCTTTCTGATTACGATGTTGTTTTAATAAATTCTTTGAAAAACATTTCAAATAGTAACATTTCCAATGTTTCTTGGTTACAATGTACTCTTCCAGTTAAACTAGGTGGACTCGGAATTCGGGATTCATCAACCATTTGCTTTTCTGTTCTTTTTTAGGCTCAATCAATGATACTTTAGATTTAGTAAAATGCATACTTCCCCAAAAGTTCGCTTTAACGAAATCTTCTCTTTAACTTGGAGCGAAAGAGATATGGCGCGTCTTTTGGCTCTGCCCAATGTAATAAAAGTAATGCATGGCTTAACGCTTTACCTTCAACTTCTTTGGAGAATCATTTGAATGATTCTACTTTCCGTATTTCCATTGCACTGAGACTTGGTCTGCCCGTGTGCGTACAACACACCTGTATTTGCAACGAAACTGTCGATATATATGCCTCCATGGGCTTAGTTGCATTGAGAGTACAGGTCGTTTGTATAGACATGGGTTCATTTATGATATCATCAAGCAGTCTTTTAGATCAGCAGGTTTTCCTTCTGTTCTGGAGCCACAAGGTCTGTGTCGGAGTGACGGAAAGCGGGTAGATGGGATGACAATGGTTCCTTGGAAAGCTGGTAAGGAATTAATTTGGGACGCCACGTGTAGTCACACCTTAGCAAATTCATATTTAAATACTGCTTCAAAGAAAGCAGGTGAGGCTGCAAGTGCTGCTGAATGTTTGAAAAACAAAAAATATGCAGAGTTGGGAGATCGTTATATTTTTGTCCCTTTCGCGGTCGAGACGTTCGGTCCTTGGAGTAATGAGGCGAAAAATCTTGTTTCAGAAATTAGTTCAAAAATTACCTTTGATAAAGTGAAAAACGCCTCATTACCCACCGTATTACCCCCCCGAGGAGCTGTGAGACCTTGTCGTTGGTGGGGGGGCTTGAGTAAATGCTAGTGACCGTTTTCACCGGCTGGTTTGTTCCGGGATTGGGCCGCGGTCCCGAATTGACGAGATTTCATCGTTAGTCCGGGGCTTTGCCCTGGGCTGGACTGGTCGGTGCGGATGGCCATGGGCAGCGAAAACGAAGGACAGCTCAACAAATCTAATCCAAGGTGTCACGTGATCCGTGCCGAGGGATGCATGACGGTGGGAGAGCACCGCCCTGAACGGAGCCTTGAAGATACCAGGCGAACTCTTCAAGTAAGCAGCCTTACCACGTCGCGCGGGGCTCCGACGTGGTGGACCTTTATTTCCCTAGCATTCGTGGGAACAACATGGATAAAAAAACAAACAAAATTGATAATAAGCGGGATAACACCGCAACGTCAAAAGCTGACCAAACGGAGCATGACATCCGAGAAAGTCAGCGTGCAGGAACTTCTCAGCACCCGAGATCACCTCGGGGACAGGAGGGAAAAGCAAAACAAAAGCAGGGTACCGAACCCATGGGGGAGAAACCTCCACCAAAGAAAGCTGCATACAAGCCAGCTCTTGGACAACCTGGAGGGGTTGACGACCCGCTGAGAAAAGGCCTCAGTGGGGCTGGAGTGAAGTGGTACCTCAGGTTCCTTCAACATGGCAAGACACCTGATGAAGCCAGAGAAAGTGCCCTGCAAAGAAAATCGCAAAGCACTCCAGCTGACAAATCACACAAAAGGAGGGCCCAAAAACATAACCCCTCCGCATAAAGCGGATGTCAAAAAGGAGGAAAATAGGACCTCCTCATGCTGACGGAGCCGCTGGGCCAAGCACCAGCTACGCTGAGTCAGCAAGAACCATCAAAGTTACTGCACTCCCCGTGGCATTCCCTGAGGAGACCATCAGTGCAGAGGACCTCTCGGCACTAGAGGATGCCATTGTGGAGGAAATGACAAAGGGCGCGGAACACAAGCTCCAATTTGGGGGCATACACTTCCGCCCAAGCATGTTGGTGATCGATTGCCTCACCAAGGAAACGGTGGAGTGGCTGAAGGAACACGTCCCCAAACTCCAGACATAGCAGGGAACAGAGTTGATGGTGTGCATGGGAGACGACATCCCGAAAGCGCACTCCATCACAGTCTTCTTCCCCATAAGTAAAGGGCAAGAAAGCCAAAAGATTCTTAGCCTAGTAAAAACCCAAAATGAGGGGCTTAACACCCAGTTGTGGAAAATACTAGGCAGCAAAGAAGAAGGCAATGGTCAATTATTGAACATCGGCATTGACGATGGGTCCTGTGAGGCCATTAAAAGAATGGGACACAGCATCTTTTTCAGATTCGTGAAAATCCCCGTCCATGGCTTGAGAAAGAAAAAGGAGAGGGAAGAGTCGGACGAAGAACCAAAGAAGCCCACCTCCTCAGGTTCCAAGCCTGAATCTTTCTCAGAGGGCAAAGAAGGTGAAGAGGACGAAAGCCTCGAGGAAGGGGAAAAGACCCTTACTCCGGCAGCTGAAATCCCCAGCGAGGAAGAGAACATGCTTCTGGGCGAATAGGAGGAATACACTCCATCTCACCAGAAGATAAAAATAATAGCAGGTAAGATGGCGAACCATACCAAAATAGCCCAAGTGAACACTCACCACGCTAAGGGAGCATCTGCTGTCATACCGCGGCTGTTCACTACGGCAAACTTGGGGGACGTACTAATCCAGGAACCCTGGGTTTATGGAGGGCAGGTCAGAGGCCTTCCCGGTGGACGGGCCAAAGTAATCTGGGACACTCGGTGTAATGACCCCATAGCATGCATTATCTTGAAAGAAAACATTAAACACTTATATCTTTCATAATTCATGTCGCGGGACTTGGTTGCCATTCGGGTAAACCTTACCACCAATCAACCACACCGCGAACTAGTACTGGCACCAGGATACTTTGCTGGAGATGGGCAAGCACCACCAGAAGAAGTACAAGGACTAGTCGAGTACTGTAACAGAGGCAACCTACCGCTCCTACTCGGCTGCGACGCAAACGCCCACAACACCATTTAGGGAAGTACCGACACGAACCAAAGAGGTGAGCAACTGTTAGAATTCATTTTTCAAACTAGCCTTAATATACTAAATGTAGGGAATACACCAACATTCGTTACTAGGGTAAGACAGGAGGTGTTAGACCTAACACTTTGTAGTCCAAATATCGACCAAATAATCAGGAATTGGAGAGTGTCCAATGAACCCTCTTTCTCTGATCACAGAATCATAATATTTGATATAGAAGGAGTGCAGGAACGAACCATCTGGTACAGAAACCCCAGGAACACGAACTGGGAAGAAAACACAACCAACCTTAAATGCAATCTTAAACAAAATAACTTTAGATGCAAGAACACACGAGAAGCAGAAGAATCGCTCGAGTTTCTGAACGGGGCAATCATGGAGGCATATGAATCTAGTTGTCCCGTAAAAGAAAAAGTAAACAAAAATAGTAGTAGCCCTTGGTGGAGTAACCACCTGTCACTACTTAGATCCGAAGTACGTCGGCTCTTTAATAGAGCAAAACGAGACGGAGAATGGCAGGGTTACACCGAGAGGCTTACTGAATACAACAAAGAAATTAGAAGGGCCAAACGCAAAAACTTCAGAGATTTCTGTGAAACCATCACAGAAACTCCACTAGCAGCCAGACTATACAAAACCCTGGCAAAAGGCAGGACGCAAGGACCACTGACACTTAAGAAACCAGACGGTAGCTACACAGAAAATGAGCAAGAACGAGCTGTTCTATTACTGGAAACTCACTTTCCAGGAAGTACAATTAATAGTACTAGAGAAAGCAAAGGTCAACCCAAGAAAACCAGGCAAGAAACCTGGGAGATTGCCAAGAACCTTTGCACTCCCGAGCGGCTTATTTGGGCGATCAACACATTCCAACCATTTAAGTCGCCTGGAGTTGACGGCATCTTTGCAGCCCTGCTGCAAAAAGGGCAAAATGAAATTATGCCGTATTTGATGAAACTGATCAGATTCAGTTTAGCGACCGGGTATTTGCCAACTCAATGGAAAAGAGCCAAGGTAACCTTCATCCCAAAGGTAGGGAAAAAGGACGCCAC